AGAAAGAAACCCAAATGATTAATACTGAGCGAATAAACCAAACTAACTCCGCAAACAGTGATAGTTCTTTCCAAACTGGTGGTATGATTTATGGGCCTTTAGTTTTAAGCTTCCTTTGCCTAATATATGCCATATATGGACACAAACAAAATGGCCGATTGTTGAGAAGTCTGTGTCATTAAATCTGCATTTAAAAGGGACATGGTCCACCAGCATTCAATGATGTCGTGTTTTAGATTTTTCATATATGGAAAATGAGGTGACTTCGAATATCCATTCGCAATCCGTTTCCATCCGTCGGTTTAACGGTCGAATCTTACAAAATATCCATTCGTAGAGCATAAAGGGATAATAAAGAGTACGTTTCTGCTTATATTACGATGTATTTTTATTTTCAAACACGAGCAAAAGCTCGAAAGGGATGCTGGTGGACCATGTTCCTATTGTCATAAAAACAAACCTGCTGACAGTTGTGCCTTGCACAGCGGTAACGGTGACCTTGACGACTAGTTTTCTTTTCTGGAGATGAAGGTTCATCGACTGTGCTTCGTGTTGAGGAAGTTTGACTGAAAAACAAAGGATAGATAGAACATTACACTTCTAATCTCAATGGTATTCCTGTTTTGGCAAAGCCCGATTGAGGTCTGGGTACAATATCAAGGAACTCTAAGAAGTCTTTAGATGGAGTGACCTACGTAGCACGTAGTTGATGTTATGTATTCATAAAATGTATTGTATTCCATTGTTTCTCGTTATGTGTTTTGTATTATACCTTTATGAATATATTACATCAACTGAGTGCTACGTAGATTCTCCCGTCTCTTTAGATAAAGGGCTTCGAGATGATAGATAATACAGTTAATACAGATAATACAACATAGGTAATGGTGAAATAAGTTAATACAGATAATAAGTTAAAAATAAGATAATAAGATAATAAGTTAATAATAAGATAATACAACATAGGTAATGGCGAAATAAGTGCGAATTTACAAATTTACAAATT